CACACACACACACACACACACTCTCAGACTTACTCTCTTGTGTGTGTCCTGCAGGTGGGCCAGTGTGTGGTGGTGTTCTCCCAGGCTCCATCTGGTCGGGCCCCTCTGAGCCCCAGTCTGAACTCTCGGCCGTCCCCCATCAGCTCCACCCCTGCTCCTCTGGGCCCTGACCCACCATCCCTGCGGTCCCAGTCTCCGGTGCGCAGCGGGGCGGCGGGGGCAGTGCTGGGGGCAGTGGAGGAGGCCCCGTGTGTGAACGGGCGCTGGGGAACTCTGCGGCCCCGAGCGTCAGCACGAGCGTCCTCGTCCTCATCTCCCTCACGGGGCCCTGATAGCCCTCCTCTCCTCAACGGGGCCTCGCCGTCCCCGCGCACCAGCCCTGTGCAGCAGGCCTCGCCTCCCGCCCGGCCCCCGGGCCCTGCAGATCTCAGCTGGGACGGCTCTCCGCCGAGTGCCAATGGTCTGCACACACCACCGGGTTCCCCGCGGACGCCCCCAGGAGCCGTGTCTCCAGCAGCGCTGCGCAGGGGTTTGGAAGCCGTCAAAGCCTCATCCTCTCTGCCGTCCCCGCCGCCCGCACCGCAACCAGGCCCCTCAGCCCCCAGCGGGACCCCTCCAGCCCCTGCCAGCCCCCCACCCATCGCCCGCCGCCTCGGGCACCACCCGCCGCAGAGCCTGAACGTGGGCAAGCCGCTGTACCAGGCGCTGAGCTGTAAGCCCATGCAGATGTACCTGCTGGACGTGTCGCGGGCGCGGACGCAGGGTGTGGTGGCGTGGCGGGTGTACGGCAGCGGCGGAGCTCCCAGCGCCGTCACCGGGCCCCCCGAGACCAGCCTGCACACCGTGGTCCAGGGCCGCGGGGAGCTCATCATCTTCGGCGGACTCATGGACAAAAAGCAGAACGTCAAATACTACCCCAAAACCAACGCCTTGTACTTCGTGCGCGCCAAGAGGTAATGGAGGAGCTGCCGCGCTGCCGTACACTGACTGACCTTACACACCGACACCGGACACGCAGACACACTGCTGCTCCAACCACCGGGATGAGGGACGCTTCGTGTGTGTGTGTGTGTGTGTGTGTGTGTGTGTGTGTGTGTGTGTGTGTGTGTGTGTGTGTGTGTACACTGTTTTTGGTGGTTTATGAGGACACAGCTTTGTTAAACTGAACACACTCACTGATATTTAACAGGGCTTCACACTCAGAGTCCCCACAGGGCTGCTGTAGGTCTGGGTGAGGACGAGGACCGCAGCATACCTGCATCATACTGTAGAACATACATGACACCTATAGTGAGTCCTCATAAACCACCAACACTAGCATGTGTGTGTGTGTGCGAGTGCGAGTGCGAGTGTGAGTGTGTGTGTGTGTGAGAGAGAGAGGACTCCAGAAGGGAATGTTGTCTTGTTTCTGTTGTATTTCACCCTCAGAAACGCTGATCTGACTGAAGGAAAGAAACGATTGTAGGAGGAACAGATGAAATGGACCTTTTTTATCGCTCTTTCAGCCTGCATTGTTTACATTAAACGTGTGTGTGTGTGTGTGTGTGTGTGTGTGTGTGTGCGTGTGTGCGTGTGTGTGTGTGTGTGTGTGGAGGGAATGAGACTGTGGATTGTAAACAGAAATAAAGTTCTCCATGTCTTGATTCTCTGAGATGCTGTGGTGTGTGGGTGTGTTTCTCATCGCTCCTGTAGCTGCTGCTCTCTGCTGTCACACAGACGGATGGAGGACAGCCCTGTGTGAGGGCCCAGATCACAACACACACTCTTTCAAGAGTTCCCCCTCAGCTGATGATTGATTATAAAGTGTGTTTGGCATGCTGTCCCGGGAGAGAGCCCTGAGCTCATAATATCCTCGAGCCCGGGGCTCCCTCCCGTTTGCAGGGCGAGAGGGGAGTTTGAGCTGTGGTAGATGTGGAGAACTCCCCTGCTGATGAACAGATAGTGATTGTTTTTAAGAGATAACTACAGACTAGCAGCATGTCTATGTGCTGAAGTGGATTAGTCAGTTAACTTAAGCTGCATATTTTTGGACGGTGAGAGGAACCCTGGGAAAACACACGTGAGCACGGGGAGAACGAGTAAACTCTGCACAGAAACGTCCGCTGGCTTGTTAAAGACTAGAACCAGTGACGTTCTTGCTGTGAGGCGACAGTGCTAACCACTGAGCCACTGTGCCACCCATCTAGGATGGAGGAGGAGTGGGGGTGGAAGGGGGGATTCTTCAAAACCAAGATGGCTGTGATCTGGAGCTGAGGGTGTTTATAGTGGCTTAGGAAACGTCTGATTGGACAATCATGAATGGGATAATGCAGCACCAGCTGTAGTCAATCATAAGCACATGATCCTCTCGACATTAGTTCCACCAATCAGAATCACAGATATTTTAGCCCCGCCCACTCCATTATGGACTCCAGTGGGAAAATGTTAAGGATATACTGAAATATTTGGATATAGGGCAGCACAATGTCTCCGGTTTCCCCCGCAGTCCAGACACATGCGATATAGGGGAACTGATCAACTAAACTGGCCGTAGTGTATGAGTGTGTACGGGTATTTTCCAGTTCTGGGTTGCAGCTGGAAGGGCATACACTATGTAAAACATAGTTGGTGGGTCATTCCACTGTGGCAACAGACTAAGCTGAAGGAAAAGGAATGAACATTGTGATATTCAGTAGTCTACATGTAAAGTGGATCAGTCTAGTTGTGCTGAGGTGAGAATGGCTGTGTGTTGGTGGTTTTAGCTGGACGTAATGAAAGATGACGCTGGTCCACTTCAGATGTTGACTACTGTATACGAGCATATTTAGCATAATTAATGTCTACAGATATAGCAGACATGTGAAAAGGAAACTCTGCATTGTATTTAGATCATTTCCTTGTCAATGCTTCAGGGTTTTCCTCATTCTTCAGAATATCTTCATCTGTGATCAACAGAGTCAACAATCTTGAGCTGGTCTGAGGTCAGTGGATGCAGAGTAAACAGTAGGCAGGGTGTGTGCTGTTCCTTTAAATGCTCGGTTTGTCTAGTTTTTCCAGATTTGTTAACTCGAAGTCTGCACTCATGACTCTTTTCTTGCAGCTTCTTGCTTTACTGTGCTCGATGTGTCATTAACACGTGTTTTATAGCCTTTATTTAATGTTAGAATGCTAATGAACATGCTGACAGGAACCCGCGGGGGTCACGTGGTCCGGTCCTCATATCTCCATTCATCCGGTTCTGCTACACACACTGCTCTTTAATGAACGCCAGCCTCATTACTGCTGTATTGTGTGTTTTTAACACTTAAAGCGGCGTCTAAAGCCTTTCCTTCAGCTGCACAGCACCGCAGACATTCACAGTGTGTTGTTCATCGTGTGTGTGTGTGTGTGTGTGTGTGTGTGTGTGTGTGTGTGTGTTCCGCTTTTCCCTCAAACATGTGAGTTTCAGATCCAGCTTCACCTTTAGCCCATATGAACTCAGGCCGCCGAGCTGAGCTGTGATTGGCTGTCCGCGGGGAGGCTGTGAGGAGCCGCGCGCTGATTGGCTGAGCGGGAGCTGTGGGCGGGGCGTGAGCAGAAGCGCTTCGTGTTTACGAGCGTGTGAATGAGAACCGGAGGCGCGCGCGGAGCCGGTAAGACACGGAGAAACATCACGACTCAATATAACCGACTAGTGCTGTTAGCGTGTTTAGAGCTGATCTGTAGAGCTGACCTGAAGAGTTGATCAACATGACAATCACGTCATAACGTTAATCAATTATGCAGATGTGGCACAGCGCAGGGTCAGCATCTCCACTTACTGATAAAGCTGAGTGTGTGTGTGTGTGTGTGTGTGTGTGTGTGTTGATTATGATTCATGATCATGAGTCTTCATCTGCTGGCTGAGGCTGTTCTAGATGTGCAGTGCTCTGCTGATGAGCTCCACGTGTCCGCTCAGTCTCAGTGTTGTTGTTGTGTAGTTTTTGTTGTTGTTGTTGTGTTGTGTAGTTAGCTCTGCTTTAGTTTGTTTTGTGAACGCGTGTTTGTGTTCAGTGTTTGTGTTCAGGTTCAGTAACTGTACTTGATCAGAGTTTAACAGCGCTCCTACACTCTTGCGCAAAGCTCTGAGTGGATCAATAGTGTGAGCGAACACTGAAGCGGAGAACAGTGCTGCTCATGAGTTGAGGCGGTGGTCTTCCTCTCATCATCCTCCATATGCAGGTAAACTTCGCTAGTCTACAGTTTTGGCAAATGAGAAGATTCACCGCGCTGTGTGTTTATAACTGCTTCACTGTGTCGCCATCTACTGGTGCCTCTGCTGAACAGCTGCAGACCAGAGTTTGCTGATCAGTGCTCATTAATTCTGCAGAATAACACATTCATTGCTAATTATTCACTTTGATATGATTATTAATGCTTCAGTTTCATTTATTTACATTTATATTTATTGATTTCTACAGATGATTGTTGTCGTTTTTATCAATAATTGTGTTTGTTATGGAAAGTGTAAGCTGATCTTGGTTTTCATTCATTCGTTTTCTTTTTGGCTTAGTCCCTTTATTAATCAGGGGTCACCACAGCGGAATGAACTGCCAACTATTCCAGCATTTGTTATACACAGCGGAATGACCCGCCATCTATTCCAGCATTTGTTTTACACTGTGGAATGACCCGCCAACTATTCCAGCATATGTTATACACAGTGGAATGAACCGCCAACTATTCCAGCATATGTTTTACACAGCAGAATGAACCACCAACTATTCCAGCATATGTTTTACACAGCGGAATGAACCGCCAACTATTCCAGCATATGTTTTACACAGCGGAATGAACCGCCAACTATTCCAGCATATGTTTTACACAGCGGAATGAACCGCCAACTATTCCAGCATATGTTTTACACAGCGGAATGAACCGCCAACTATTCCAGCATATGTTTTACACAGCGGAATGAACCTCCAACTATTCCAGTATTTATTATACACAGTGGAATGACCCGCCATCTATTCCAGCATTTGTTTTACACTGTGGAATGACCCGCCAACTATTCCAGCATATGTTATACACAGTGGAATGAACCGGCAACTATTCCAGCATATGTTATACACAGTGGAATGAACCGGCAACTATTCTAGCATATGTTATACACAGTGGAATGAACCGCCTGGTCTTGGTTTAGGTGTACTGATGTGAGTGGTCTTCTGTTTTGCAGGTGATGATGATGATGATGAGTGGATCTTCCTCTTCAGTGGATGTCAGTAATGTCTGCAGAGGAAGTGTTGAACACGTGATGCACTGCTGAAAACACACGAGTGTGTGTGTGTGTGTGTGTGCTGCAGTCATGCAGCTGATGAACTCTGCATTCTCGGGTCCGTCCTCCCCGACGCCGGGCCCCTCGCCCCCCCGCCCGCCCCTGTGGCCCCCGCTGGACTTCGGGCTGGGCGCGCTGGCCTGCTGCGGCGCGTGTGTGTTCACCAACCCGCTGGAGGTGGTGAAGACACGGCTGCAGCTGCAGGGGGAGCTGCGGGCGCGGGGCTCGTACCGCCGGCTGTACCGCGGCGTGCTGCAGGCGCTGTGGGTGGTGGGCCGCACCGACGGGCTCCGGGGCCTCCAGAAGGGGCTGACGGCGGCGCTGCTGTACCAGGGGCTGATGAACGGGCTGCGCCTCGGCTCCTACGCCCAGATGCAGGCGGCGGGGGTCACTGACGGACCCTGCTGCAGTCTGATAGCCGGAGCTGCAGCCGGAGCACTGGGGGCCTTCATCGCATCCCCCGCGTATCTGGTACAACACACACACACACACACACATACTTACATACATACAGTCTTGCATAGACTGGAATATAAACACACACACACACACACACACACACACACACACACACTACTGCAGTGATTGACAGCTCCAGCAGATGGCTCCAGTGTCAGGCAGTTCCTGGAAGTGTGTATGCGTGTGTGTGTGCATATCTGTGTGTGTGTATCTTTATTGAATTTTCTGCAGGTGTGTGTGTCTGTCTGTGTGTGTTTGTGTGTGTGTGTGTGTGTGTGTGTGTTGCTCTCTCCCCCTGAGTGCTGACAGCAAAGCAGCCGGACTCGGGCTCAGATATCAGACCGCAGAGGAAGCGCAGGATCAGTGTTTACGACACACACACACACACACACTCTCGGTGTGTATGGATGTTTACGTGTTCTGCTTCTGCTTTGGTCAGGTGAAGACGCACCTGCAGGCACAGACAGTGGCGGCCAT